CTCATCATTTTCAAATCATTGGTCGCCCAACTTCCTGGACACCCAAAACAGAACAATAGTGATATACTTCACAAGCCTTCGAGGAATCCGAAAAACCTACGAGGATTGCTGTTTGGTTCGCACAATCTTCAGAGGGTTTCGAGTTTTGGTAGATGAGAGGGACATTTCAATGGATTCGTTCTTCAAAAAAGAGTTGCAGACGAAGCTTGGTGGGGTTGCGCCCACGAGCTTACCACAGGTTTTCATCGGCGGGAAGCACGTGGGCGGCGCAGAGGAGATTCGACAAATGAACGAGGGTGGGGAGTTGGCCGGAATGTTGGAGGGGTTCCCGGCGGCGGGAATGAGGTCTATGTGTGAAAGGTGTGGGGATGCTAGGTTTGTGCCATGTCCTAATTGCAATGGGAGTAGGAAGTTGTTTGGGCAAGATGGAGGGTTGAGGAGGTGCTCTAAGTGCAATGAGAATGGATTGATAAGATGCCCTTTTTGTTGTTGTTCATGAGTTCTTGATGTAAGTGCAAAATCGTTGGAGTTTTGGCTTCAAGAAATGTGTTGAAATGAAATGGACTAATCTTACGAAGTTAATAACGGATTTTAGTTCAAAAGCTTTAAAATTTTATTACCAAAAGTTTGTCGATATTAATGTGGTGCATTGATTTGACCATCAAAAGATGATTTGGTATACACGATGTAATATCACGAACATGAGTGAATAAGTTAAGCGTAAGAATTATAGAACTATTTTTATGGTTGCATTGGGTGTGTTAGTCTATCTTTTTTCTTTATAATGCACCTGTTTTGGAATAGAAATCTAAGATTGCTCATTTGAATAGGCTAATATATCTAAATGATGTGCCTAACTTGAATTCTAAATTCTTTTAAATCCCTATTCCCATATTGTGAGCCACTAACAAACCTTCTCAACTAAATGAGAAGATTTTGTCCATATATCAACTTCATCGCACAATCAATTTCATTTCAAACAAACCCGTACAGTTTTCAGTGATCACGTCAAAGTCAACTATCTTAGAAAGCAAAGAGTTTCACAACGTAAGCATAACTCCATGATTAAAAGCATCTCCAATTTCTATCGGAGGTCACAATATTCTTGAAGAAGCAAAGACTTCCCAACAAAGCTAACACCAAGTTTGAGCATAACATGTAAAGGGCAGAAGCTTCAGCTTGGTCCGTTCGACAACTCTTAGAAGAGTTGGGATACAAGTTTTCTAGCAGGGAGAACCCTATAACAATCCCTATAATTTATGTATGACCTAATGTTTCCAAACAAAAATCTATCACCAACATTTTTGGCACTAGAATAAAAATGAACATTGGGGAAAGATGCATACAAACAGAGAGTATTTCTCATACAAAAGAAAAATAAATAAAGAAAAAAAAAAAGATACAGGAGTCACCTAGTAGACAACCATTCTTGAGGCGAAACTGATAATATTACATGCTTATCATGGCGAAACTGATAATATTAGACAACCATTCTTGAGGGAAACACTTAAATTGTGTGCATATTTTGGTGTGAGTGTGTTAGATTTCAACCTCTTCGACTAACTGCCGCTGCGATCCCAGCAGCTACAAGTCCCACAGCTGTAGCTGTAATGCCAATACCGATGATTCCATCTGCAAATTGACATAACATGAACCAAATTCTTTCAGCTTATGATTCGATACAGTAAAAAAGATTCAAGAAAAGGTATTTTATGTTTCATTATACCTTTTCCAATTTGGTCTTCTACGGTCTTTTTAAGTGTTAAAGCTTGCCTCCAATCAGGTGCAATCTACAAAAACCCAAGGAATTCAGTTATAACAAAGTCAATCAGTGCCAAGGGTCATTCCTTCATTCATCAAAATATGCCTTTGATTGATTAAAAAGTATGATGAGTCGTGCACCATATGTTTTGGAATGATCTTTTTACTAATAGGATCATAGATGATATCTGTGAGGCACGGACACTTAAGTTCAGGTCGAGTGTTTGTGTCAGATTCTTATCGGATACGGTTAAATTCGGACACAAGACACGTGTCGAATAAGCTTTGACATGTGTTGGATACGGATACATCTGAAAACGCTTCAGACATGTGTCGGATAAACATACATCTTTTAAAAAGCCTAAATCATTGTTGACCACCTTTCGGACACGACACTATTTTACATTTTTTTTTTTTAATTTTTTTTAATTTTGGAGATAGCTAGACACGACTTGGATACATTTTGAAACAAAAAGCCTAAATCATTTAAATTTAGAAAAACAAAAACAAAAAAAAACAGGACAGGAAGTTATGAAATATAGAACCCCTAACAAGAAACATTGTTGACCACTCGCAACCAACGTGTCAGTGTCCTAGTTTTTTTTTAGACATTAACGTGTCTTTTCGTGTCCGTATCTATACTTCTTACGATGATATAGTTTAAGGTTTCGTCAACATGTAACTTGTAAGTACGGTTCAGAAAGGAAATGCATGATCTAACAAACAAAATTACAAGCTGAAGCATTTAAATTAAATAGGAATTGAAGCAAGACATTGTGCAATTATGTGTGATGTCACCAATGAATTTATAGCTGGCAGAATACCAAGTTGCATGCCTAAGAAAGAACAAACCTCTAAACATTGTTCTACAAGCTGCCGACTCCTTGCATATTCACCACTTCTGTAATATCCAACAGCCAGCAAATAGAGTTTCTCCCTCCGGTCCAAAGGGGTTCTAGCATTGATTAAGGAAGCTGCAAAATGACACGCTAATCCAACTTTAAAAACTGAACCATGAAAATAATAAGCTTTGAGAAAAATGGCTAATCTTAAATAACTACAAACTGAAGTTTGAGAACGTGAATATATATATCAAGCAAGAAGAAAAGGTTTCAACTGGAAGGAGCTTCTCCCATTTTAAGGTCGAAGCTCATTTCTAGTAGAATTCCAAGGCAAGTTGATCATGAAGTTTGAGTTCTCGTTTCCAAGTTCACACATATCGCATATGAAAATATTTTCGATGACACAAATTTGGAAGTCAAACTATATTTGGAATATTAAAAAACGAAACTATTTTTCTGGATGACAGGAGGAAATCATATAATTGAGAACACAAACTGGCCTTTCAGGTCATAGCAGATAGCAGCAAGAATTAAACACCCATCTTCTTTGTTAATAGCCTACAAAACGTCACTCATAAATGTCACAGTCATCAATGACAAGATTGTGATAGTAATGGTATTAGGGGATATACTAGTAATTAGTTAGGGAAGTTGTTATGGATGTTGGTCATAAATAAAGGGAATTGTTTAGATGGTCTTAGGATTGAATCAGTCTGCTCATGGGAAGGGATGAGCTTTTAACCAAGAAGTTGACAACAAAACGAATATGGAAGACAGAGTTCAATACTGTTTCTAAAAAACCCATAGAAATTCTTTGCAGAAGATTTACCTTCAAGCATTGCAATGCCACGATTAATATCCTCCGATTGCCTTGAATGAACAAGTGCCCATGATAGCCTCATGATGCTTTCATTCTTGCGTTCTTCAGAGGCGCCTTCATTGGCCTCTGCAACTTCTCTTTCACACCCCTGCATTACAGTATGCAATCTAAATCAAATACAATGTTGCAATTTGCAATCTCACCATGGTTTCAAATTACTTCCACCCCATAAACCTGGATCGATTATACACCAATTTTTGTATGGAGACATTCAATCTCTTCTTTTACAGGGTTTAATTACTTCTACCGCATATCCTTTTCCAGGGATGCATCTAAGCACGCCAAAATTAATCGACAAATGTGAGAATCGAATGCTTATGCTTCACCCAATCCGCCAAATTTGAGGTAAGACATCATTTAACCTAGCCAAGTTCTTCTCCATTTCTTTCTTTCAGTTTCTCAGAGACCAACCAGAAATTGTAATGATAAAGCGAGAATCTGAGAGAATAAAAGAAAACTCACAGCGATAACGTCGCGATCACACCAAGGGATCTGGTCGCCACCGCCGAAGAACGAAGTAACGGACTCGAACAATTTGCCGATTTTTGCTTCCATTAAATCCGATGATTCCGTGAATCTCAGAAAAATCAAAATTTCCAATTTATACAATAAAATCTCCACCGAATCTTAATGACAAAGAAACGAAACAGATGATTAACGAAGAAGAAATTGAACTTTGGACGTCTCGAGAAGGCAAGATATTTATAACGGGTTCAAAAAAACCGGGTAATCCGAAAAATTGGATGAACCTAACTAAATGAACAAAATAAATGAATTTTTTATGAATTCGTTTAAATTAAATTAATAAAAAAATATATTTTTTTTCATGCAATACATACATTTATTGTAATTTTAATTAAATTTATAATTTTTTCCTATTATTATTCTCCACTTAATAAAAATAACTTTTTTAAAATTTAAAAAATATATTGATTCCATTTTCGGGTGTAAATATATAATCTCTTATAAAATATTATTTATTTTCAATTAATAAATTAAGAAAAATTAAAAACTTCCTGATAATTATATCAAATCATTTATTAAGATTACGAAGTGAGTCATATCAATAAAATATTACGAACCTAACAAACTCAATAGAATCCATGTTGGTTTGTGAGAATAGTAATGTTCGCTTTAGAGGTACTAAATAGGTAACATGATCATGTTGTATTAGATGTAGGGAAATGTCGGGACCATTAAATATTGAATATGAACTCTAAATCTCGGGCATGAAGGGTTACACGTGATATTAGTAGTAGAACGTCTACTAGTAGTAGGATATGGTTCAAGGACGAACTAAAGTAATAGTTGGTGGGTATGTAGTACCAAAGTAGAAGAGCGGTACGTGAATGAACGGAGATTACATTCCAAATAAGATATTTTCCTTGGCTCGTTAAAAAAGAATCAAAATATTAATTTTTGAGGGTTAAAAGTGGGTTTTGACTTAAAAATTGAACTAAAAATGTAATTTAACTTGAAAAAAACACAGTATAAAATAGAAAAAAGAGAATAAAAGGATTCAAAAAAGTTGGAGCGATTTTGGACTCTTGAAAACGGCATTTCGCAGTTGAGCCGCCACCGTGAATTACGATACAGCAGCCGGTAGCCGGAGGAGAGTTTTCGATCGGAATCAATGGAGATCCTTCCTATTTCGGTTGATTCTTATAATTTAGGATTCATCGGAGCTGGAAAAATGGCCGAGAGTATAGCGAAGGGAATTGTTCAATCTGGCCTCTTACCTGCTTCTCGAATCTCCACGGCTGTTCACTCTAACCCTAGTCGCGGCATTGCTTTCGAATCTTTCGGGGTTCGAGTCCTCCCGAAGAACGACAACGTAAGATTACGACTCATCTTTCTAGTCGAGTCCTCTGTTTTGCAGTCTATGTGTTATTACATAACCATAATCTTCCTTTGCTTTTTTTTTTTTTTTTTTTTTTTTTTTTTTTTTTTTTTTTTTTTTTTTT